ACATACGTTGTGAACAAAATGGATACGGTGGCTTTACAACTTGACCTAAGTTGAGTACACGATGTGATAGCATATGACATTCAAGTGTGATGCCATAGAAGATTAGGTGGCTTGTTCTCCATTCAAGAGATTCACACACTGACCGACTAGCAATGTTACCCACCATTAATTAAGGAATTGCAATTATTAAGTCACACACATGGTGACTTATGTGTGTGGTAATACCACAAGTGTTGAAGCTCAGGGAGACATCACATGCAAGCATATGCCAAAGGGAAAAAATGATTTTTCATGGAATAGTATTTTTCATATCACATAACATTCAAAAATTAATTTTTTTATACAAATACAAATATGTATTCAAGCATAGCATACAAGGAATGCAAAGGCAAGTGCAAGCAATGCAACATTCAATTGATTGGTTGATCAAACTTTTGTGGTTGATTGAACCAATGTGGTTCGTTGATCAAACTTTCATGGCAGATCAAAGCAAAGTGTAATTTTGTGATTGATCTTGGTGGCTAATCAAACTAAAGTGTGGTCTTTTTATCGTCCTTTCTGGTCGATTAAACCAAATTATTATTTTATTGTTAGCTTTGGTGGCCAATCAAAAGTGTAATTTTGTGATTGATCTTGGTGGCTAATCGAACTAAAGTGTGGTTTTTTTATTGTCCTTTCTGGCCGATTAAACCAAATTATTATTTTATGGTTAGCTTTGGTGGCCGATCGAACCAAATTGGTTTTGTTTTGAGATCATCCTTGGTAGTCAATTAAATAAAAATGTGTCTTTGTAATTGGCCTTGGTGGTTTATCAATTTGAATTGATTTTGATTTGTGATCAACCATGGTGGCCATTGAACCAAAGTGGGTGGTTGATCGTACCTTCATGGCCACTCAAACCAATGTGTGGTTATATGATTAGACTCGATGGTCAATCGAATTGAAATGGGTGCATATGCTAAGTGTCATCCAAGAAAAACAAGCAATGTGAAAACTCATGCAAGAGATGTGATATACAAGTGAGATTGGACAATTGACAAGGTTGACCGAGACGATCGACCAGGTGTTATAGCCATGTGTGGTTGGTCGGGTTGGCTTGCTCAAAGGGAACAAAGGGATTGGTCAATCAAGCTTGGGTAGCTGATCAAACCTAATTGATTAATCGATCAGCTGAGGTGGTCAATCTAGCCAAAGTGGGTTGTTGATCAGGCCTTGGTGGCCGATCAAACCTAATTGATCGATTGATCGAGCTAGGGTGACCGGGCAAACTAAAGTGGACAGTTATTGGACCTTGGTGGTCGATTGAACAAATTTTGAATGATTGATAGGACCTTAGTGACTAATCCAACCAATGTGATCAATTGATCAAGTTGGGGTATCCAATCAAATCGAAGTGGAAGGTTAATTTGGTTTGATCAAACCTTTGTGACCAATCAAACCAAATTGGATGGTTGATCAGACCTTCGTGGCTGATCAAACATAATTTTATCGATAAATTGAACCGGGGTGATAGATCGAACCTAAACAAATGGTTGATCAAACATTTGTGTCCGATCAAACGTAATTTGAACAGCTTATCAAACTTAATTGGCCAATAAAACCAATTTGATTAGTTGAAAAAGAGCTAGGGTGATTGATCAAACTGAAGAGGATGGTTGATTGAACCTTCATGGCCAGTTAAACCAAATTGGTGGTTGATCAGACCTTCATGGCCGATTAAACCAACAAGATCATATAATCAAGGTGACATGTGCAAAGTGTTATGCATGATCCATAAGAAAACGAAAGCACATGCTTTGGATAGCAAATTAAATTCATTATAACATCCTTACATATGATCTAGGCTTTGTTTTATGGATGTGCAGGAAAGCTACCTCCAAATTTGGTGAATGACATAAAGGAGTTTTCTTCATCTCTTTGTAGAAAACTCCTCTATGATTTAGAGAATGAAATGCCAAGGGGATTATTTTGCTCTTTAAATTTAAAATTCTTTAATCTCTTCACCAAAGGTTGGAGACACCAAAAACATGAGAAATTCAGATTCTTATCGTTTGGGTTTTTTTTTGCTAAAGCTTATAAGGAAAGCTAAACATTTTGTAAGAAATTTTAATAAATCAATAATAACCTAACGACTTTTCTCTAGCTAGAACCTAGGCCTTCAAATCTCTAACATCCAAACCTAAGGGGCTTTCGGAATGAAAATTCAAGAGTTTTATAAGATTTCACCTTCGTGGCATTTAAAGATGCATTCTCTTTGCTTACTCCTTGCCCCTACCTTTTTTTGGGTGAGTCTCTCCTCTTCCAAGGTGATGTGTTGTGGTTTTCATTCTTCTAAGTTGGATGAAGTTTTCCTTTTCCAAAGCATATGGAGCTTTTACTTGAAGAAGCTTCTTCACAACTTCCCTCACACTCTCCCTTAAATATTGATGGAGAAAGAAGAAGACAATATGGAGGGAATGTTGAAGAAGGAAAAGAAGGGAAGAAGATGAAGATCTCCCTTACTCTAGAACCCTCCACCAAGCTATTCTCTACTCTAAGAACTCTCTACTTAAGCTCCCTTCACAAATGATCCCTCTTCCTTAACTCAAAGGCTAGTTGGATCAAAGGGAAATGGAGGGAAATTCCTTCCCCATGTCCAATATTTTTGACCCAAGATTAGCTTAAAACCCACTCTCCATGAGGCACATGATTGACCAATATTCATATTAGGAGGCTCAATGATTTAATAAAACCTTCTCCCCATTTTCTCAAGCTCAATTTTGGCATCTAATGGGTCAATTTGGTCATAATAACAAACCTTTGGAACCTGATTAAGGTTCTTCTTTAGAATCTTGGAGGAATTGCAGATCCTAGTTCCTTTAGCATATTAAGTCACTTAGTTAGGATCCATAAAATTTCTTATTTAGCAGTTTTTGAGCCTTTTGTATAGAAAAATAGAAATAAAATTCTCAGAGGATGGGGTGGGTTTGATCAATTTTTAAATTGTAATAACAAAATATGGTTTTTTTTAAGAAAGGAGATTCAAAATAGAAATAAAATTCTCAGAGGATGGGGTGGGTTCGATCACTTTTTAAATTGTAATAATAAAATATGGTTTTTTTTAGAAAGGAGATTCAAATTCATATCTTACTTGATGACTCACAATTCATACATCTGAATTGTCCTGGGGTGGTTTCCAATGTTGGGCTACCTTGGTATATGCTAGTTGCACTAGGGAGGCTAGGCTGGAGCTGGGAAACTAGATGAGACATATTGGGAGTATGACTCAAGATGTTTGGTTCATGGGTGGATATTTTAATAGGATATACTTTCATGATGAAAGCAAAGGAGGAAGGAAATCTAGAAATTTTGTAATAAATCAATTCAATGAGGATATTAATGAAGCACGTTTATTTGATTTGGGGAATAGAGGATCTCCTTTCACTTGGAAAAGAGGAAAAATGTATAAATAATTAGAGAAGTTGCTCATTAATTAAGCCCGGTTTAATAGTTTTTCAGTTCTCTGATATCTAACATTAGTCCAGATTGGGGTCTGATCATTGCTCACTTCTTCTCACAATTGCCAATCAGTGAAAACCAAGATTTACACCATTTAGGTTTCTGAATTTTTGGACTAATCACCCAAGGTTCTTGGAACTCATACAACATGCCAAAATGCAAGGAGAAAAGATTTGATATTTTTCAACTCCCAATCACAATCCAAAATGTAGTTTAGGTAATCACAAAAAAACCCAACAAGCTTTCTCTTACTAAATACACTTACCAAAAGCCGTAACAATGGCCTAAAGTTGAACGGTGAAAGTCGTTATGTTGAAAATACTTAAGCCAATCTATGTCACTATTTTCTTACATGAGTTTTCACAAATTTCTGTCAATAGATGACATCCTTAAACTAAAGGGTATCATGGGTCCCTCTAGGTGTTCAATATGCAAATGTGAAGAAGAATCTTTCCACCATCTATTTTTTCATTGCAAAGTTGCAAGGAAAGTTTAGAGTAACATCTTATCCTAGTTACAACTGCTTGAAGTAAACATTGCCTAGTCTAGCATTCTGGACTGTTGGAAGAATGAAAGGAGATTAAAGCAGAAATCATTTCTTGCATTGTTGTTTGGTTTCTTTGGATGGCATGGAACAAAATTAAATATGAGGAGGTCAACTTAGCTCCCATCCAAATCAGCATCAATTGCATGTCTTACATCTACAAGATCACCAAAACTCTCAAATACAACTTTGAAAACATGCTTTTCCATTTTTTGAAAGAGGAAAAGGGACCAGTATCTGTATATCTCTTGATACAAAAGTTATACTGGAGAAAGCCTGAAAGGCCTTGGATCAAGGTAAAAATTGATGGAAGCTACAAAGATAATGCAGTTGGAATGGGAGGAGTTTTCTGGAACCATCTTGGAGACTATCTGCTTTACTTCCACTCTCTGATTATGGTAGATAATGCATTGCAGGCCGAATTACAAGCAATGGTTTGGGCTCTTAAAATGGCTTCAACTCTTGGATGGTATTATCTTCATTTGGAACTTGACTCATCTCAGGTGGTTGACATTCTAAGGGGTAAATTACACCCTCCCCGGTAAATTATTCACTGGATTAAGCAGATTAATATTCTCACTTCAAATGAATGGATGAACATCTTATGGAGCTACACCCCTAGGGAGGGGAACCAGTGTGCTAATTGGCTTGCTAAGTGGGGAGCACAATGTACTTTTTTCATTTTTAAATGTAATTCCTTCTCATGATCCTACTATTTTTATAAGGGGGATAAATATTTCCTACCTTATATTAGATGTAAACCTATTGTTCACCATTAATGCATTTACCCCGTCTTAGGGGTCTTTATGAATACACGCGCGCGCGCTCACACACACACACACGCTCGAGCGCATGCTCGGACAGACTGTTTTACTAATTAAAGAGAGAAAATGAGAATTATTGGATGGACCTGGCCCCCACTCTTTCTCATTTAGACTTCTTCCATGGTCATTAAAGTTTTTCGAATACTTTGATTGTTCCCACATATTGGAAGGCATGATGCGGCAGCCCATGCCATCTCCTTCAATCCAGCACTTCTGTTTATCTTATGTCTTGTTCACTCTTCTTCCATCTCCCACCAATGGCAGAGCACACTCTTGGCTTTCCCCTTCCCCCGCTCCACTCCTATCCCCTCTGCTTAATCCCGTTTCTGCACCTCCCGTTCTTATCGCACCTTCCCCGACAGGTAACTGATCCTCCATTTTCTTCTTCCTTTCTCTTTATGGGATTTTTTTCTCTCCCATTTCTACTTAGTTGCATCTTGGAATGTCGGCTCATTTGTGAGTTTCGGTAACTTGGTTTAAGCCTTGAGTTCCTCGCACTAAAATCTCAGCTTTTAAGTAACTTGAATGAGTTTCGTTCTATTTTGACTTATTAGAGCCTCCATGTTGCTCCTTTCTGTAGATCTCGTAAGGTTCTGTGATTGATTTATTTTTCTTAACTGCTAAAAAATTTCTCATGTTTCTGGTTGCAGCAACGAAGGTAATTGTTGTGGTTCAGCACCACCATTCGACCAGAGAACTGATCATCTCCATCTCACTCTCATCCGTTGCCGTTTTAGTTATTGCTCTATTTATCATTCTCCTCTTGGTTACTTGGCAAAGGCAGAAACTGGTTCGAAGCTTCAAAGACACTCAAAACTATGGTACTTCCAAACTTTCTCTTAGCTTGAATTTTTAAAAACAATTTTAAACATTTCATAGTGCTTCATTTAAATTACACTTCGTGTAGATTATGCTACTAAAGGTCTTCATTCGGATCCAACATTTAGCAAGCTCAATTCATTAAAGATGGTGGACAAGAAAACATTGGTTGCAAGGATCGAGTACTCATCCTTAAAGTCAGCCACCAATAATTTTGATGAGAAATATATTTTGGAAGAAGGGAGATTTGGGTGTGTTTATGAATCTTGCCTTGATGGAGTTCCTGCAGCAATAATGAAGTTAGATGGATATGGGCGGGATCAATGGAGAATATTTGATGTAAATTTATAGTAATATCTCTAAAATTTTTAATTTTTCTGTTTCTGTTAATAGTTATACTCTGAAAAAAATTACTTTTTTGCATTGCAGAATGAATTGGATTTGTTGGGAAGAATCAGACACCCAAATGTCATCTCACTTTTGGGTTATTGTGTGCATGGGGAGACCAGATTTCTAGTCTATGGCTTGCTGAACAATGGTTCTGTACAAACAATACTGCATGGTACTTTCTCTTCATTGTCTCGGAACAAAAAAAATCATGAAGCTAATTTTATGCTTTATATTTCGTTTCCAGGATCATCTCATGGATCAGCTTTAACTTGGCATTTGCGAATGAAAATTGCACTTGACACAGCAAGGTTAGGCCTCCCAATCTCTTTAATATCCTATTTTGATTTTTTTTTTTTAATTTGATTTGCTATTTGCATTATCCTATTTAATCTTATTTGTAATTTTCTAATTTGATGCAATGTAGAGGGTTAGAATATCTTCATGAGCACTGCTACCCTCCTGTGATTCATGGAGATTTGAAACCATCTAACATTCTTCTTGATTTGGACTACAATGCCAAGGTATCAGATCCTTCTACAATTGCATCTTACTGGTTTTCATCAGGAAAATATTCCTTAAAATAATTTACTACTCCGGAAACAGATTTCAGGTTTTGGCCTTGCTGTTACTGATGCTGACCAAAATAAGCGTATGGCCAAATCTTTTGGAAAGCTAGATTATGCCACTCCAGAGTATATTTTAGATGGTTAGTCATTTCATTTCTATTATTTTTACATTATCTGTAAGTTTAAAATTACATCGATTTCAGGCAAGCTTAGTGAGAAAAGTGATGTGTATGCTTTCGGAGTAGTTCTGCTGGAGCTGCTGATTGGAAGGAAGACTTTTGAAAAAATTGCAACATCTCAATGCCAATCTCTTGTGACTTGGGTACTCTTTTGTGATTATGAAATTATAATATGTGATTAGTTGTTAAAATTTGTAATTCTAAGAAATTGTTTCCTATGATATTAAATATAGCATTTTTCATGTTGCAGGCCACGCCGCTGCTGACAGACAGGTTGAAACTGCCACTTATTGTAGATCCAGTTATTAGGCATACAATGGACCTAAAACATCTATACCAAGCAAGTTTTCTCTTATGCTATTACTTCTTTCTTCTGTTCTTCTACGAGGTTTTAAGGTTTATATTATATTCATGTGGTAGCTTATAGCGGTGTCAATGACTGGAGTTTGTGGGAGCTTGATTTGTGTTTATAATTCCCTTGTTTTATTTTTTTCGAACTCGAATCATCGAAAGTTTTAAATTTTCAAACGTTTTTTCTTACAAAAATAAGCACAAATGTCCGGCCATGATTAAAGCATTAACATACAAAATAATTAATACGTGTGTGTGTGTGTGTATATATATATATATATATATTGTACATCAGAAATGTGGCTTTGCGAATCTTGAGGAGATCCAATGGATTGCACGAGAAAAGCAACAAAAGATCAAGCAAGCCAGCATCATTCCAGCCGGCCAAATTTTGGGCTGGCTAAGCATTAGTTCGCCTGAATCAAGGAGTGTCACACATCTATACCAACAAAAACTTAATCTAAACAAGGGAATTTAAAAGATAAACGGTCGTCTGGCAGGGACTCCTATATAGACTCATCGACCTAAGGTAGGTTGCCTGTCAGATTGCGGTAATGCACCATCTGTCTGATGGAACAATCTTCCAAAAAACAATGACCCTTCACAGTGAAATAGGAGATCAAGAATCGTTCAGTCGGCCGAATGACTTTTGGCCGACTGAATGAATACTAAATGATCAAGCCAAGCGATTACAAATACAAAACGGTGATAAGGGCGTATATATATATGGAACGACGCCAGCAACAATTACAAAGTCAAAATATATCTAATTTGGTTACAAATATATAAAGGTGTAGTGGCTCACAAAATAATTATAACATTCCTATTAAAGAGGTACAGTCATGTAACTTATTACCCCTTCTATGACTTATAAATAGGAGGGTCATTTCTTCAAAAAGGACTACTATATCTATTTCCAAAGGATTAGTGATATTTGTACTTCATTCCTTCTTTATCCATTTTTTTCATAATCCTCTCATCTAAGCAAAACTCTATCTCTTAGGTGTGACCTGAAAGACATTTTGAAATTAAAGAGGCAATTGGGCGAACTTGCTCTCGTTTGTCCTATGTGTTGTATGACCACTCCATCATCGGTGACCGAACAAACACTCTACATGTTTTATCATGGGATGGAAGAAATGCTACCAATCGAGCATAATCACCAAAGTCAAAGGGTTTTCATTGCAACATCTTTAGATCAAGAGAAGCTCGCTGACTGGCAAGACGCATATGGCGAAGGAGTTTCACTGACTCTAGAATTGCTGAAGATTTTTAAACAAATGCAGCACTACGGCTAGAAAAAATAAAAATAAGAACCACCCGATATAACAATAAGAATGTCCGAGAAAAGACATTCTCTACTAACAACCTAGCCCAAAATAAAACCAATCTGACAGTCTATCAGCAAGCTCGATCAGACTCGAACCGGTCCCTTCATCGTCGACCAACAAATCACCCAGAAGCTTACAAGATAAAATCCTATATGCGAAAAAGCTCGATCGAACTTGGAACGAAAATGATCTCAAGAATTTTTTTTCTTGAAAAAAATTACTTTATATCTCTATTTGAAAAGACAATCTTAATTTACTTCGAATAACTTCTTATCTTGTTTTGTTATGAAAAGAGTGATTTTGATGTTATATCCTCAGTCTCAACATAACACACGAGGAACCGAAAGATTGATGGATCTCATGTTACAACGACACTCGTAGAACTAGGTTACTTATAAAAATAGGACGAAAAAAACGTTCCTACGCTCGGTCACAACAAAATGAAAAAATGATCAAAAGATTCATGAAACGTCCTGACATTTGGTTGTAAATCTCAGGCTTGAAATTTTTTTTGTCCTGAGTCATTTCTCTGAGGTGCTCACTTGTCCCGTAGAAACAAAACTCCATGGAGTGACCAAGAGAAACCCTCTGGAGAACATACAATCAACTACCCCATGAGATGTAGATCAATTGAACATAAATTTAGGTATGCTAATATAAAACTCATGTCTGCCTAAGAATTGAAGCCCAGGCAACAACACGGTGTTCAACTCCACAAATTTTCTATCAAAGCTCAAGTTATAAAGACAGATGAATGATGAAAATAAATCGAAGTATGAATGACAAATGTCTTTGATAATAGAAGCATACACAACTAACTCAAAGTATAAAAAGAACCACAAAGAGAACCAATCCCTCTCAAAATTTGTTAGACTGAGGTTGGAATTCAAGTTCATGAAGACCTTCAGCATCTTCTTTTGTAGAGGAATCCAATGAACTTGAACCCTTTTCTTATTCCTTGGAGGTGTGGGAAGGAAGGAGACAGACTTGTAAGCCACTTCCTTGCTTCTCTGCCTACAGTCGGCCTCCTCAGCTGACTTATAAACTTCTTTTGGGTTTTCCTCTGAGTCTTCCTCAGTTAGCATCTCCTCAGCTTGCACAGTTGGAGTCGAGGGTGATTGAAGAAACTGACAGCTTGCATCTCCTTTCTGTAACAAGGGAATGAGGCCCGAAGTCACTGGTCGAAAAACCTTCAGTGTCGAGGAGCACTTAAAAGATCCCCTAGTCTCTGATTGAAAGGAAGGGAGAATTGGCTCGTCCCTTAAACCAATAAATCCAGTGTAGCAAGTTTTTGTTAGATTAAAATCAATTTACCAGTAACTTTATTTTGAATAACTATCGAAGTTTCGTAGACTGAGTGAATAAAGTTTGAATCTAGAACATGGCCCCTTACGGACCGCCTTCCTTTGTTTCCTTGTCTATTCCTCTTATAGGAGAGCCAACTGCTCTCTTCTTCTTCCTTGTCTCCTTCTTTGAGAGTCGGGCGAGCTTATGTTGTAACCTCTTCTCTTTTGCCTCATCAGAGGTGGCTTACAGCTCTGGTGTCATTGGGTTGTACTCACTCAGGTTTAGCACCCAACTCACAGTCATAGGATTGGTATATGAACCATCGATAGTTGCTTATTAAGCATGACTGAATCTAGCGACTTAAGTCAAGGAGAAACCCTTTTCTTCTTCTTTTAAGGGCCACCAATAACTTTGGTTGAGATTCCCCAGTCATCACAACTACCTCTTGAGAACCGTAACGTATAGTCCTTTATCTTGTTTTCCAAGTCGATCAGGTGAAACTTCTAACGGGTGCGAAAGACAACATAATGGTCTTGTTCAACCCTTTAGGGAAACATATTGGAGAATAACTCCATGGACCATGAGACCTCCTTCTCGTGCAAATAAATCACATAAGCCATCACTGTTGTGATAGAGTTCAACTTAAATAGGGCTGGTATGACTCCATAGTGGAAGAAGATCAGCCAGAGCTCTATACATGGTGGTAGTCGAAGCCCACAACAAAATTGATCCTGATAAAAGAGCAGGTCATCGCCTAAGTAGTCAGTGGCACAAACTTCTACATCCACTCAATCGAGAATGAAACTTGTGTTTTGCACACGTGTCGTCCAACAATGCAATATCAAATTCTATCAAGATCGATTTTTTGGTCAACCTCAGTGAACTAGACATTTGAGGATAATATTTCTGAGCCATTGAGCTCTAAAAGATCGACCGAGGGAATGAAAAATCAAATGTTTTTACTGAGTCATCGCTCAACCATATATAGATGGTACGCAAGGAAGTTGAAATGCCTCAAAACTAAACATTGATCTTCGAAAATACCTCACATCAGTGCGAGAACTGTGAACACATAATGTTTAATCTTTTTTTAAATTGGGCAAAAGTTAAAAGTTTTATTTATAATAAAAATTATTTTACAAGAGGGTCATCAGCAGTATTGGGCAAAACTAGACCTCCACTCATCAAACTCACATACAATGAACGTCCACCAAATTTATATTTTTCTATCTTCTCCTCTTCTGCCCGGACACGGGAAATCGAGCTAGTTGCCCATAATTCTTCCAATTTTTATCAAAGACTTGCCAACTTGACCAGGAGAGTCTATATATCAACATAGAGGGCCATCAACTCCATTCGTATGTTTGAAATAACAACCTCTCTCTGAAGGCACGTCTTCCTCTCAGGATCAGCCAAAAAAGGCGGTGGGATGGACGCCACTTCAATCGAGGCAGGAGCTGAAGGACCAACGGGCACCTCCAGTTGGGGAAGTTGCATGACCCTTGTGGGCAAGGTGTCAATGATTTCCACCGTCTCGTCTGCAACATTAGAGTCTGGCCCATTAGAATAGACTAGACAACCGAACAAAAGAAAATTCAAGTTACCAATCATTCATTCCATCTCTGACGTATTAAGACTTTCATTAATGAGTGGTGGAGCATCACTCTGGACAACCTCTCAGATTGAAGGCTGAGGCAGGGCACCTTCCAAAGGTGGGGCATTACCTTAGGCAGCCTTTCAGACTGAAGGCTAAGGCAAGGCAGCTTCCAATGGCTGGGCATCACTTTGGATAGCCTTTCTGGTGAAAGACTAAGTTAGGACACCTATCGGTAATGGAGCTTGCATAGTCATTTCCACTTGCCCATGCTCCTAGGGTAGCTGCTGAGTCGAATGTTGACTAATTGGTTCTGGAGCCAGAACAGGCACATTAGCAATGCACACTCCCATCTGGCTCCTCATCTATTTCTTTGCTACCTGCAGCTTCACCAACTTGGACCTCTAAGGCCTAGTTCCTTCAGCCGGTCCTTTGGCACCACTCATTTTCCTCTCATCTCCTGGCCTCTTCTTGGTTGGCTTGCCCTTTTCATCGGTTTTCTTCTTTAGGACAGAGCAATATCTAGTTGGTTTCCTCCTCTTCTCACCCCAAGAAGGGCGGATCTTTGAAGTGGGAAGCACGAAGGTCTTCATCAGTGCTTCCTTACTCACAAGCTTCTTAGCACCCAACATCCTTGTCCTTTTTTATAAATGATTTAATGGCAAGATAATTTCATAAGTGAAGAAGGAATGCGCTGGCCACACTCTATTTATAGGAAAAAATGACATGGAAATCCATGGAGTACAATTATTAGCACCACTTATTATTTTATTATTTAAATCTCTTTTTCTTATGACAGTTGTCACTTTCGAAAAAGTAAGAGAATCGGGGAACTAATTATTATATCAGAAATGTGACTACATGAATCTCGAGGAGAACCAACAAATTGCACAAAGAAAGAAGCAATAGATCGAACAATCCAACGTCATTCCAGTCGACTGAATTTGGGTCTACCAAATGTTAGTCCAATGCAACCAAGGAGTTACGCACCTATACCAATAATAACTTAACTAACACAAGCATGTTCGCAAGATCAATAGTCGTCTAGCAGTGACTCCTATATAGTCACATTAGCTGAATGTAAGCAGCCTGTCTTATTACGCTAGTGCACTCTCTGTTTGATGGAATAAGCCTTCCTCGGACAATGAGTTTTTACAATGAATCTTCTCGAATAAGGAGATCAAAGATCGTTTAGTAGATCAAATGACTTTTCGCTGACCGAATGACTACCAAATGACTAAGCCAACCAATTACACATATGAAACGATGTCAATGGTAGTTACATATATGAAACATCGCCAGCAGCGGTGACAAGGTCAAAACATGTCTGATTCGGTTAAAAATATGTAAACATGTAATGACTCATAAATGAGTGTAATGTTTCCGTTAAATGAGGGACAATCATATAATTTATTTGACCGCTTCTATGATTTATAGATAGAATGGTCATTTTTATAGAAAAAACTACGAGATTTATTCCTAGAAAATTACTGTTATTAATTACTTTTTTTTTTCCCCTCATCTGGCTAACGCTCAATCTCTTGGGGGTGATATACTGTTTTTATATGAACAATTAGTGATTTTAACTTAGTCGAATAAATGTTTGTTTGTGCATTGCTTTTTTATTCCCCCCCTTTAAAATTCGAAATAAATATTTGTGTTTAAATGCATCCGGCTAACAAAATTCATTGATTTCCAACTCGAAGCATTTGAAGAAGCCCTCACCATCATCTTGATGGCATTGTTTAGGTTGCTGCTGTAGCTGTGCTGTGTGTCCAACCTGATCCAAGCTACCGGCCTCTGATTACTGATGTGTTCCACTCTCTAATACCACTGGTGCCAGTTGAGCTTGGAGGCACACTTCGGCTTTCCGACAGGCTGCCCAACCCAAACCAAATATCCTATGCATATTAATTATAAAAGCTTTGTTCAAACTTAACAAATTTTTAATGAAAATTCTGGTTTATTTCTACATCAAATTTGATTTTGTAGGTATTTTGTTTAGTGCTGTGCTAGTTTAATAGAGGTTTTATTTTACTGGGTAGGATTTCAAAATGTTTTTAAATGAATGGAACGTTTGAAAAAGAAAAAATAAGAAACAGCATAATCTGTATTTAGATGTCAATTATGTCTAATTATTATTATTATTAGTATTATTATTATTATTATTTTATAGAATCCTGTGAAATTATTATGACTCTATTATACGAGTCTCCAGCCGCTACTAATGTGTATAAAAATTCGAGTATTACTTCCTTAAGGCCAACTGTGTTAGAGGGAATTCAAACCTTCAATCCGAGGGATCTAAGACCATTGATGCCTATGAGGCGCCTACATATATATATATATATATATACTACTTCCTTAAGGCCAACTGTGTTAGAGGGAATTCAAACTTTCGATCCGAGGGATCTAAGACCATTGTTGCCTATGAGGCGCATATATATATATATATATATATATATAGGTGCACACAACTTTAACTCCGAGTGAAATTATTTTTCTATGGAGTGTTAAACAATTTTCAAAGTTAAAATTGATATTTATATATATACCAATTATGGGCAAATTTTTTTTAAAAAAATTCTCAATTATAATGCAGAATGTAGAATGGTGATTTAAGTGGCAAATGATAATAAAAATGATATTTAAATAAATTATTATTAAATTGATTATAAAGATTATTATTTAAAGTCTTAATATTTTTAATCATAAGAATATAAAATGATAGTTTTGTAATGTATACTTGAGTGGAAAATTGATTAAAATAAAAATCATATTTAAATTAAATTTTAAAAATATGTACATATTTAAGTTTAATTTATTATAAATAATATATTAAGTGCTCATATTAAATTTTGATATGAGATGTTGATTTTTAAAAATAGTTTATGGTTTAGAGAGTGTGTTAAATGCCTTAATTTTCTTTTATATAAATGTTTATCCATTTCTCTCATACATATGAGCGAGAAGAGAAAATGATAATAATAACAAAAGTAAAGATAATGAAGAAGTTATTGATAAAGATATGGTCCAATATAATAGTACATCTAAAAAAAACTACAAAAACAGTGAAACATATATATCGCACTACCGCCAAAAATGTTATCATGGTGTGTAAAAATATGGTGGTCATCAGGCTCGCTCTTGTTGGTGATACTACTGTTGGTCATATAATTGCTCTGGTCATCCTCTTATCTTAATGTAGATGATACGTCCACAGGATAAGACGTAAATTGTCTATGATCACGTCTAAAATCTGTAACATAATCCCATAACTACGGATCCTATGAAGGTTTGTCAGATTCTGCATCTAGAACTTCTGCCATAAAGAGAGTGTCTCGTATGAAGGATCTGCTCTAGTATATACTATCGGAGTGTACTCGTATGAAGACCAAGTCTGGTGAGCATGAGGTGGTGGGACTATGAATGTAGATTGGTCAACGGTGAAACACCAACGTGCTCCCCTCATCATTGTTATCTCTCGATATCATTTGAGATATGTAGGTTGATCGTCACGTGAGGCTACAAACATGTTCCACCTTATTAGCCTTTTGTTTGAGACTCTCATTACCAGAGCCCAAAAATGGAGATAAATACCCCTCTATCTTTGCAATAATCATGCTACAGAAAAGATTCAATATATGCATATTTTTGAACATTTAAAATGGAGTATATAAATTTTTATTTATTAGAGATTTAGTACACACTAGTGCTCATGAACCACCTCATGTGCACAACGACAGGTTGATCCTGATCTACGCTTCCACAATAATGGGCAACAACATATGCCTCTTTATCATCTCATATATATTTGTACCGTTGATGATAGTCATCCCAGTCTACCCAGCTCTTCTAACGTCCATCAATCCCTTAAAAATTAGACTCCATAGCCTGAATATCCACCCTGGGTAGTCTTCTAAACTATCATGTCACCCTCTCCGATAGCTGCCACTTTTTCTAAGACCAGAAAATCAATGGCACACTAGCCTTCCAAACATCTGATGAATAGGTGCATAAATTTGCAAATAGAAGCATAATATCATCTCATTATGGTTGTCATATCATCTTCAATTAGCAAAAATGATTAGATTGTCAATGTAAATAAAATTTTCTCACATAAAAGGATGTTATAAAATTTCAATACTTGGAGAGCAAGTGTCCATAGAACTCATCATGGTATACTCGAATAAGACGCGGTTGCTGCTCTCGTACGCATGGCTTGTTCCACCTATAAAATTCAAGGATAAGTATACTTTCATTGGTAATAATAAATGTTTAATGCTCCTCCCATAGATCTCTAAAGGGAAATGAACTCATATTGTGGTTTTGTCAACATGATATATCTTTCAAGGCAACAATTGTAACAAATGCAAATAACCTAGCATATTCACCTAGTGGAGCTTTGTATTATGTGTGAGCTCCTTGTACAAATTTCTCAGTATTGTTGATCCAATATACTAGGAGAAAAATGACAGATACTTGCAATTGGTAAATACTGTAAATGAATATTTGATACAAACATGTCGGAAAAAAGAAAGAGGTATATCATGAAGTGTATGTAAGCCCATACATTCCTCTGAAAGGTATATCATCAAAATCTTCATAAGTCTCTATTTTCATTACTTTCTCTTTTTTATTTTAGAAGAGTTGTCAGTTTGTCTATTACCATATACTTATATTTTCTGAATAAATCTCTCTTCTAAATCATATGAATGATTGGGAGAAGGGAGGAACCGGAAAAGAAGACATATGACAAAGAAGACAAATAAGAGAAGGAACGTGGAGAGTTTGTAGAAGAGTTGTCAGTTTGTCTATTACCATATACTTCCATTTTCTGAATAAATCTCTCTTCTGAATCATATGAATGATTGGGAGAAGGGAGGAACTGAAAAAGAAGACATACGACAAAGAGGACAAATAAGAGAAGGAACGTGGAAGGTTTAAGGAACCGGAAAAGAAGACATATGACAAAGAAGACAAATAAGAGAAGGAACGTGGAGAGTTTGCGTTCGATAAACCTCGTAAGGATAGGTCAAACATGTTTGCCCAAATAAGATCGAGCAAAGGCGTCTTGGACCAGTATCCACGAAAGAATACATGCATAAACTGCCCACAGCCAAAGAGTTAAATGTATGTGCTTGTTTTGGGGTCAAGATCACTCACAATGGAACATATTCCACTTGGTTAATTACATCGCTCCAAATATTGTACAACGACACACCTCAATGTGATGTAACAACACACCCCACATATGATGCAACGAAACCTTCTAAAGATAGTTTAACAATGCACCCTGAAGATGATGAATTTCTTTGGACTCCTAGTGCTTTCTCTTTATAACCCACCACTATGGCCTACATGACCAACTATGACTTACATGACCCACATCTCATGCAGCTTGCCTCTGCGGCCTACGAATTTTATCGCAACTCACCACTATGGCATGTAACCAACTATGCCCTACATGATCCACAGCTGCAACACCTGATACCGGCTTCTACGACCGATGGATGTTATCATAACTCACCATTGTGATCTATGTGACCAACTATGACCTATATGACTCACAAACCTCGTAGCTTCCTATTATGACATTTATAGCCAACAAATGATCCTGAAATAATCATCTGCAACCCGCATGACTCATGATTCCATGAATTTCAGCTACAACCTGCACAACAAGATGGTGTTACAAACACGAACTTCTATCCCCATAACAATTGACTGCTGCCCTTGCATCCAACTATTACTGAGTACTACATTCATTATTGCTAGAATATGACTATTATCGTTGAACTTTAGTCATACAATTATAATGATTAACTTTATAACTCTATATTCCTTAATTCAACAAAAGAATACTCACCATTCATAGTAAATTGTTTCAACTAAGCTAGTCCTGGTGGTTTTTCCCATTTATAGGGTTATTCACGTAAAAAGTCGAGTTGTCTCCTCCTACTTAATTTTGTTATATTATTTAAGTGTCCGATTAGAGTATCATACAACACTAAAACACTAAATAATTACTATAAAGCTGCAGACTTTCCAACACGCAACATGAATATTTTACATACATTCCCACACAATTCATATATATGTATAATTCTGACACCTAAAGTTCATATTTACATTTATAACACTTTAATGCCATAAACTTATGCATGAAAATTCATGTTTTATTTTTAAAAGGGTAATGATACTAATATTTTTTTTGTTATGTTAAAAAGTTTAGTGTTTTACATGTAAATATAAAATGTTAGGTGTTATATATGTGAATATATAAGGATTGTATGGTAGGTATGTAAATTCCCCTTATAATAATCATGAGAAGTCATACATTTATTTTAAAAATTGTTAGAATTATACATATTCAATATTATTGTAATTTGGCATTAAAATAATTAATTTATGAAAAATGAAGTTGAAACCTAAAGTGATCATATGATGTTCCTATGAGTTATTCATTACTAAACTTTATTTAATTAATTAAATTAGGGCTATTGAAAGTGGAATAAATGCATTTTGTACATAAAATAGATCAAACATTCAATCTGATACATGCAATATATTGAATTTAACATATTAACAACCTCTAAAAATACTTGTAGCATTCGATTGATCATTCTAAAAGTTGTGTATCAAAATGAAAAAAAAATCATATTTTAGAACTTTTTTTTTAAATTTTAAGGATGACTTTTTATTTTAACAAACCCAATATGTCTCCAATATGCGCATCTACAAATTCTTAAAATTTATAATTGAGAATTTTAATTATGATCTTTACTTTGAGCTCTTATTGTTGCCTCTTTCATAATTTCCTTCTTCATCCCTAATTAACTTCTTGTGATTGTTTTACTATTATCACATTGTGTGACATCTAAAAATAGGTGTTGATTGTTGATGACGGAAAGATGCTATGTTTTGATAAGCATTGAATGACAATTGTATTAGAACATTAGACGTCTGAGACATGTTGGTCTTCTCATTTATTCTCGAACGACCAATAAGGCAAGCATTGAACATCAAAGGCTTGAAGATGATAAATATTGATTGACAGAAGAAATAGTTAACTCTGAAATTCAAATATTATTTTGAGAGGAGATATTAACAAGTAGAATATGAGTGTTAGATGTTTATTGTTGATAGATATCAAATATTAGTAGATGGTCATTTATAAAAAAATAAACCTTTGATGATTATATGTGCTCCACTTAATCGTTCTCTTCCTAAAGTTGGAGACAAAGAAGACACAGATCAAATCTTGATTACTGACAAATGTGAAAAGTTGGCTCTTTGATATATGTTAGGCGATATTTGTTGAAGAATGCTGAAGGACAGATGGGCGGGAGATGTTGGATGCTTTAAATCATTCATTATTATCATATAATGAAACATCAGATGATTAAGAAGGCATGTGTTAAAGGTTTGATATTCGATTGACTTCAAGTGATGGTGAGCATGAGTATTGGGTGTTGATGACTAAAACTATAGAATTATCCAAATCCAGAAGTTCTTTTTGCCAAATTTTTCTTCAGGTTCCCCACTTCGAATGTGTGGGAGAATGACTTGTATGTTGATTTTTGGAGGTGATCATTCTCAACAAAATAAGGAGACTTTATAGGCAATTGAAGTTGATTTTCAAAATTATTTGTGTTTTTTTTTTTTGGATATTTTAGTGTTTTAAATGTATTATAATTGGGTAATTTTATGCTCTTAGACTTTTCATGTCACAACACTCATTTTGACTATATGAATGAAAATTTAAGGATCTTCAATTTTATGATAATCTCATAAATTTTTAATTATACTTTTAAGCATTTGATTCATGTCCATTTTGCTTGGATTATAATGCTCATGATATTGCTAGGTTTATCCCACCAAGACACTCATTTAACCTGTACGACTTTCCTTTAAAATTGAGTTCAATCATCTCAAATGTGATTCATCGAGTTTGTTATTCGAATACTCCAATGATATATGATTCAAAAATTCAGTTCTTGATCGATGATTGACAAAATGAAAATTCAAATGATATAAATCAATGGGAAATCAATAAGTAATAGAGAATAGATATTGATAGTTTTTTTCTAATATAGCGATTTAACACTATTATTATTAAAAAGTGGGTTTTACATGTGGAGGTCTCCAAACTGTGTAATTTATAACTAAAAGCCCCAAAGCATTTTTGTTACGCCTGAAGGACTCCATCACGACTCCATGCCGATGGATCAATACCAGCTATGTAGAAAACACCGACCATTGACACAACAATGAGGCTGGAGACATGAGGAAATCTTCCATGAACCCTGCATTCGTCTTCCTCCCCGTCCCCATCTAGTACTTGAAGGTAGAAGCCGACATTGAAGCAGGGGAGCGTGGTGGCCAGCCCAATGGCTGCCTCTTGGTCAAGACACCGCTGGTGGTGCAGTCGTCTTCCTCCCCGTCCCCATCTAGTACTTGAAGGTTGAAGCCGAAACCTTCTTCGCACCATAACAACTGGTGTCACTCTACCTACATTCAGTCAGAAGCGAAAAAATTTTCCAGCAAACAAATCGAAGCTTCTCTAGTTCATCCTCTTTCATTTTTGCAAATCCTCTCATTGCCAGCAACCAAATTCGATTGGTAATGCGAATCACAATCCACCTTAAAGCCATCAAAATCCTCCTGTGTCGAAGAACAAAGGTTCACTCTAACCGCTTCTATTACAACTCCTAATTTGTTCATTTCAACCCTATCTTCGTCATCTAAATCCTCCCGAATCTATATTTTCAGCTTTCTTCGTCTCTGCCGATGGATATGGTGATCCATCGACGAATCAAAATTATGGTGTGGATTGCACGGAATAGAGTGTTGCAGAGAAATACATAGTTTTGATGTCCTTCAGGCATAGATTAAATATTTTGAGACCTTTAGCTATAAATTGTATAGTTGGGTACTTCATATGTTAAATTCCTTATTAAAAATTAGTTATACTAAAAAATCCATTAAAAAACTTCACCCGGGTCCATTCGCAGCAAGCCAACCGTCATTTAGTTGCGGCGGATGATGAAAGATCGGAACTTTTAAATGTTACACCTCTAAAAGCCCTTGGAAGAACTCGAGTGGGAACAAGGACGAGACGAGCTAACCGGAGACGCTTCGTACTGTAGACGAGGGAGGGGGGTATCGCAACGATTCTCCGTTGGCGAAGAAGGAACGCAGGTCGGTAGCGCCAGTACCGAAGATGCCGGATATCATCGAAACGGCGCAGCCGGCGGGATCGCCTGGGAAGGAGCAGCAGGCGGCAGGTGTTGGTATTCTGCTTCAGATCTCGATGCTTGTGCTGTCCTTCGTTCTTGGCCACGTCCTCCGTCGACACAAGTTCTACTACCTCCCTGAGGCTAGCGCCTCCCTCTTAATCGGTAACTGAGCCCCTTTCCCCTTTCTCTCTGCCGTTCTCCGGTAGTTTTTTTCCTATTCGCAACATTCCATTGTTTGATACTAGGCTATTTAGTGGATATCTAAGCAGCTTGGAATGTTTGAAGACTACTAGAATGTAATAACCTTCCTCGTGTTCGTCATTATGGTTGAACTTGTTGGCTTCGTTTCTAAATGTTGCATTTGAGTGTTATGTTGCACCGTTTTCCAGTGAGCTATTTGATGACCTTTTGCTTCTGATAACTTCAATTTTTTTCTATATATGCAGAATTTTAGATATGTGGATAACGGCTTTGAGCGTTGAAGTTGCCATTCAGCTGCTATGAAGCTAAGGGATCCCTAATTTTGAGCCATGCGCTTATTGTCATATTACTGAATGAAGAGATCTAATTAAAAGGAATAGTAATGGATCGGCCATGTTTCTATTTGTTTGCACTGATTCATGGGGTGGTTAGGGCTTAAGTGTATGGGCTCAGTACACGCCCATTCTAAAGCCCTGCAACATTTTTACTTGGATTTTTTATTTTAAAGATATATTAGGAAAATTTCTCTAGGCCTTTCATTAACCAGCACTTGAGGGAGCAATTATTGGAGTTTTAAACAGGCCCCAAAATAAGCACTATGCAATTAAGGCCTAATTTAGGATTGAACTTTAGTTGTTATGGCCACTGAGCTAGTCATATAACACTGTTTTTCATCTAAACAGCCCAATGCGATACTAATTGGAGAAAATTCAGCATAAAAAGGATGCTTGTGGATTTTGATGAGTGTTCCAATGAAAGCATTCATTCTCCTGTTTTGTATTATCTTTTTAACCAAAAACTTGTTGAAACTCAAATTAATCTATCACATTGGCTAGTAAAACTAATGTCTAAATTTTTGTTTAAAATAGTTTTTTGATTATTTTTTTTGGAAAGTGGAGTTATAATTTATTTGATTACGTTCATGTCCTTACTTCTTAACTTATAATTAGAGAACATGACAATTCATCAAGAATTGGAGAGTAAAAACTCAATTCCCTGGTATGACATACTGGGAATATAATCATTTAACGTTCACGAAATTAGAAATGCAGAAATTTTTTTTTCTTATTTCTTTGGCTTTTGTTTGATAAATGTAGTTCTATCTTGACAACTTTATCAAGAAGCTTAAGTTTCGCTCTGACAATTTAAAGGAGAAAATTTAATTGCATAAATATTGCTTAGTGATCAATTTTTCTATGGAAAGCTTGCAATATTTTAGCCTAGCTCTCTTATAGCTAATGACCTTGGATGAGAAATAGCTTTCATGGTGCCAACTTTTGGATGTGCAAGTCTATGTTAGGCCTAACCGTGCGCCGTTCACTTGTTGAGGTCTTTCTTCTTGGCCAAGTAAGCCGATTTAAGCGTAGTTTATGAAGAATTGAGAACATGCAGTAATTTATTTTCTATTTGGCTTAATGCCTACTTTGGTGCCAGGTCATGCCATTTCAATTGAAGTTTTGTGAGAGCCTTTTACAAAGTTACTTTTTTACCGGAAAGAGAAAGGAATTTTTTAGCTATTTGATAGGCTCTTTAAAGTCTTGTATTTAATAATGATGGAGCTAAAACTAATTCCTTATGCCTTGAGTAAAGTGAGAAAGTAAAAATGATGCCTCCAATGTATATGAGAAGTAAGGAGTTAAAGAACAAGTTGCTTTTCAATAGCTTCATTAAATAGTAGGGAAAAATAAAGTCTATTTCAAGAAGTTTGATTGAGGGGCTTTTACCTTTTTAGGAAGAGCTATAGCAGAAGGGCTGTTGGTGGCTTTGGAACAACCCATTTTATAGTCTCCAAGGTTCTAATTTATTATCCAATCATTTGAAAGTGAGTTATTCTGTGATGATTTTTGATTGATCCGAACCTTCTAAATGACTTTTCACGATACCCTTGTTTGCTAGGACTTGTTGGTAAGGTACTTGCAAATAAGAGAGTAGGTTGCTTGTATGGTCAATTGTCCTCTTTGAACTATTCATAGTTGGTTTGATTCTTATTTATTTTGTATAAATATTTCCTAGTGTAAAGTGACAATCATTCAATATAATTTGGTTGGATATCATATTCACAACTTCATCTATAATTAATCCTTCTTTGAGCATGTAACACCCTAGTCAACCCCTTTAGGTTAAACAAATGTTTAAAAAAGGAGAACGACTTAGTGATACCCAATTTTTACTAACGCTCATCTTGAAGTATACTCATTATGATCAAATGGGTAGATAATTAGTCTTACAAAATTATCATAAAGCAATTTTTTACATTTTAATTTGTAATTAATTCTTTAATATCTAACATAAATAAGGAAACATGTACAAATTATCGTCAAATAAAGTGCAATGCTTGTAAAAATATTTTAAAAATGAAATCATACATATCCTAAAAATTGCTTTAACTTCTCAAAAATTGTTCATTCAAAAATTAAATAAAAGGGTAAATCATCTGGCTAACAGTTTTTATATTTCTCACCCCTCCCTAAAAGCCAATAGTACAATTTTTGAGAAGCTACACATTTAGTGAAATAAACATTGTTAAAGTGTGAGTCAAATGTATATGGAAGAAGTAGCATGCATGCTGATCTGTGATTGACATGAGTAACAACAGTAATAATAAATAAACATCCTTTGATATTCCAATAATAAAAAAAAATGTTTATAAACAATAGGTACAGTAATTGTCATAAGTAAATAGAATTGTTCCTGATGAATCATTTAATTCACTATACCATTCAATGTCATGTGTATTTGTTTTATTTCTATTATCATTCTTATTCTTATGGTTTGTTTGGCGCAACTGCAACTTCTCAGCTTTGCAGCTGCAGCTGCGTTGCCCAGGAAGCTGCTGCGGGGAAGCAACGGCGGGGAAGCTGACTGTCTGTTTGGTGCAGCTGTGTGAAAACAGTTGCGGGGTAGTTTTTTCTGTAAAAATGACCAAACTGCCCCTATTTGTTAAAACTGTAAAAAAATTATTATGTATTTATATGTGGAGGTGTAATATATGTAAAAATTTTAAAAATATTATGTATTAATTATTCATATGAAATAAATTAAAGTTTTATATACGTGTTTATATATATATTTTAAATTCCTATAAAAATATTTAAAAGTATGATATTTTGTGTTTATATATATTTATAGCAGCAATTTAAAAGTTTAATTGATTTACTATAAAAATAATTTTGTTTATTTGTAAACATATATGCTAAAATCTGTTTATGTATATATGTATGTTTAAAAAATTTATGTGTATATGTATGAAAAAATTTTAAATTTAAACATCTTTAAAAACTTGTCTTCATCCTCGAGGGGAGGGGAAAATCGCGTACCGGATAGAATTTTGTAAAAGGGGGCAGCGAGGTAAAAGTGGCGTCAGGAAGCTCCCCCCCCCTGAAACAAACGGCAAAAAAAAAAAAAAAGGCTGCGCGGCACCGCGCAGCATGCCCACCGCCCTCCCAAACGGGCCCTTAGCCTTCTCTGGCTTTGAAATATCACTTTATATTTATATGAACTTTGATACAATTTATTTTATAAGATTTTAATCCAGCCCATGGGCTATAATAATTGTTGATAAATGCTAGTTATCCTAACGCCGTACTTATCAATGATCCTTTAATACTAATTGACCTGTCATGACCTTAATATCGCGAATCACTAATTCAACTATTTTTCTTTCAAGGCTCATCTTATCCCACGAAGCACAAACACGGATATGAGGACACGGGTATGACACGATACGATACAACGACATTGACATAATTGAAAAAATCTTGACACGGCACCCCCTGAACATTTTTTTATATTTATTAATATAAAATATATATTTTTTCATTATTATTTATTAAAGACATCTCAAAACAATGATGACGTCTTAAAACAACGTATGCAAGAATAAAACTTTACTTTATAAATTTAAAATGTATTATGAAACATCATGCTTACAAAAATCAAATTTCAAAATTAGAGATAATATATTTTAAAAGAATTCCTCATAAAATTTTCATCGATTACACCCTGTTAAATAATTAAATTAAAATTTAAATTTTAAAATTAGAATAAGTATAGATTATAACTATTAGCTCATTAAAGAGTAAAAATAATTAAATTATCACTTATAAAACTAGGGTGACTTTGACTCCACCTGGCTTAGATGTATAGAAGCTTTAGCGTAAATGTCGCAAAGTTTGACTTCGGCTTCGATGCGGGTTATTTGGATTGGCTTCATCAAACGAGTTTGTCTCCTACTTAGGTTGCGGCAAAATGCTTACAACTTCCGCTTTAACGGTACAAGTTTGGCTTCGATGAACCAAAGAGAACTCCAACACTCAGCTTTGACGAATATAGGATGGACTCAGATTCGACAAACAAAGAATGACCTACCGATGCCCGGCTTCGATGAATATTCCATGCACCTTCAATGCTCGATTTTGATGAATGATAGATAAAGCTTTGACATGACGAGAGAGGAGAGAACTTTGACATTAAGGTATAATTAGTACTACACGTATATTTTTAATTTTTATTTTCTTGCGTTTCGTTTTTCCCCAAATTGTGTCGAGCCTATGTCTGATGCTGCCTCGGACGTGTCCTGGTCCAAAAAAAAAAAAATCAGACACATTTTGTATTATCAGATAGATGTTAGGATGTATTAGAGCCGTGTCCATGTTTGATATATATCCGACACGGGTACAACACATTTTAAGAAGTGTCAGTGATAACTATTATTTTTTATGTGCAGGTAATCAATATAACTATTTATCGGAACTTATATGATATTTTTTTATCTTCTTTACCTATTATAATTATTTTAATATGTATTTATTATTTAATTTTAATTTACTTTCAAACAATTATTTTATTAATACGCACACGAAATCTAATGTAACCGGTAATAATCAACAATTTGTAGTTAATATTATATTTCTGTGAAATACTATGGATTGAAAATATGCTTAAATCAGATTGGCATTAATTTATGTGATCAACATGAAAGAATTTCTAAAACAATCATATACAAAATAAATTTACTAATAGACAATAACTTGTAATTGTCCTATAGATTATTTTTTTTATCTAGGTTGCTGGATATGTCTCACGATGAAACTCTTCCCTAAGTTTGCCTCAAGCATGCTTCATAACATAAACAACCTAGGAATAACAATTTTCTTAAATATTAGGAAATTCTTAAATCAAATTTAATTAAGGACGAACATGTATTCAGTTGATGTTTTATCTCGAACTGATTTCTTCTCATTCAACCTCATAAGACAAATAAACTAAATTCGCACTCACTTCATCGTAGTTAGGACGAATTTGAAAAATTGTTGCCAAAAATTTTTCTTCCTTACCTCATAAAATCTTCCCAGATCTACAATTCTTCCAGTTGAATCACTTCCTTGGAAAGAAAAGTGGAAATTAAATTCTTACCTTAAAATCTAACTTTCTTTCCTTTTTTCACTCCTCCTTCTTCTCCCTTTCTTCTTTTTTTCTCCTATTTCTTTCAGTGGATACCACTCGAGAACCTCTGTTTTGGCCTTTAGCTTCTCATGAAACATGAGATTACGAGAAAGTAAAACAGGAAAATGAAATGTTTAGTTACTTAACGTATTGATATGTATATATATATATATATATATATATATATATATATAATATCATACGTCATTAGGAAAAATTTATCTTAGCGGCACAAGGACATCCATCCATTGCATGATGCTGAGTGGATTTGGTGTTACAATAGCTAATACAATAACATTGCTGCTGAAACTATTACAGTAACATTAATAAAACTGTAGAAAAATTTACTTAACATTTATAAAGCTTTAAAAAAATTTACTTTGATACAAATTAATTAACTTTTATAGATTTTAAAATTAATATATTTTCAACATATTAAAATGATTGAAATAAGTGCAAAATTTTCTAAAAATAATTTTGATACTTTTTGGGAGGCACATAAAATGATGTACAATTTAAAATCAAATTTAAGTTTACCTTTTTGTTCATTTTGGGTATTACAAAGCAAAGGTAGATCAAAGAAGGTTGGAGAGCTTTTAGAAATAAAGAAAAATTTCGGAGGCCCTATTTATGTTTCATCTGATATATTCTCTTGCATCATAGTTCAGATCTAGGCATTACAACTGTGGCAGATACTTGTTAATGTCATAATGCTTCTGGATGCTATCTTCCCGAGAACTTGTTTAAATGGACTGATGCTGCGTCATTCACACTAAATAGAAACTAAGAGAGTTCAGTATTTCCATGCTGAGTTTTGCTTTCGTATCCAATGTTTTCAACTCTGTTACGCCTTCGTGAAACTGGAGTCCTTGTTGAAAGAAATATAGGTTTCTTTAGGAAGATTTACATCTATACCACAGAATTCCTATGTATTAAATATCTAACACCTAAACTTTGTTGTTTTACATTTATAACTCTTACCTATGCATGAAAATGTGTATTTCACTTTTAAAAAGTTAGTACTAATGGTATTTTTTTAATTTGAAATTAAATATTTTAGTTTTTGAAATGTAAAAATTTAAGTTTAGGTGTTAGATATATAATTATGTAGATATTGTGTTATGTGTGTGAATGTATCTTTTTGATTATTGCTTTGTTTTCAGTGGTGTTTCTTTGATCTGATGTTTACTGGCAATTATATGCTTGTTCATTGGTATTAAGCATATAATTCTTTACCATCTCTTTGACAGGTCTGCTTGTTGGTGGTTTTGCTAACATTTCAAATAGAGAAACAAGTATTAGGTTTGTTTTTTCATTATTTTTCTCATCTATTTATTTTCTAGTAGGCAAAAATGTCTTATAATTAAAAATTGACTTTCTTTGTATTTTTCTTTTTTTACAGAACGTGGTTCAACTTCCACGAAGAATTTTTCTTCCTCTTCTTATTACCTCCTATTATATTATATCCTGGATTTTAATTTTCAATTATATTTCTTTTTTTAATATATTACTGAAAATTTATGTTAACATTAAGGCTGAAACTTTATTGTTTCCCTTGACTTTACCCTAATCAGTCAGGTTTTAGTTTAGCACCTGTAAGTCCTTCAACCTTATATTGCATTTCGAATGTTGATTGGCTGGAGCAGCTTTGAAATTTCACTGGTATATAAATCCAACATTCTTATTCAGAAACCATTCTTTTCAAATTTTGGAGCAATTATCACATTTGCCATACTGGGCACATTCATATCTTCAGTTGTTACCGGTCTTTTAGTGTAAGCATGCTCTTCTCTTTTAACTAAAGGGTAGGTCATCTCTTTTGTAACTCTTCATTGTTTTATTCATTTTGATTTGCAGATACCTTGGCGGATTAGTGTTTCTCATGTATAGTCTACCACTAATTGAATGCATGATGTTTGGTTCTCTCATTTCAGCAACTGATCCTGTGACTGTGTTGTCGATATTTCAGGTATTCAGACACATTTGGTGTTTGCTTAGTTTCTTATCGCTACATGTGTAAATTTTATCATTCATGCTCCTATTCATCTGCTTTTATTTGTGTTAGTAGTAAATGATTTGACAGCTCGTGTAACAAAATGATGAAAACCATGAAATCAGAGATCCTTGTCATCTTAAGAGTTTAGAGTTTCACTTTTTCTTAATGTAAATCTAGGAAAGATGCACGAAAATTATGCACACGAATTCAATATTTGTGCTTCACCAACCATTAATTTAAACAAATATTCGTCTTTTTTGTTGGAAACTTGAAAGTATGAAGAATCTACTCCAAGTAATAATTTAATGATCATCTATGTGCAGTTTGAAACCATTAAAAAACTTCCTTTGCAATTAAGTTTCACATTGCAATAAAAAAACCAGTTGTAAAAATTTTAACTAAAATCGAGTTCATGAGCAAAACTTATTACAGATAATTTTAAACAGAAGGGAACAATAAAAAAATTATAATGTCTAGTCTTTATTTAGTTTCATTATAACATTGATTGAGATATATTTATATAGAATGCTTAGGAGCAATGAACACGATCAAATTTAATTTAAATTTTATTTTAATGTTATTCTTGATTTTTTTGTAATTTTTATGAATTAATTTGGATTTCTTAGCTATTAGTTTAATTTATTATTATTATTATTATTATTTTTCAATAAGTTATAATAATTAGTAAATACATGCAAAAAAAAAAAGTCTTAAAATTAATTATTAAATTCATTATAATTTAATTTCGATCTTTGTTTTCATGATTATATAATCAAATTTGTATTTAAATACTAATCATGCTTAATTATATTAAGAGAAATTTACATACCACACAATTCACATATATTTACATATCTAACACCTATAATTTGATATTTACATTTATAACACTAGCTGCGTATCAAAAGATGTATTTTATATTTTAAAAGTTAATAGTTGTGATATTTTTGATGTGATGTGAAAGGTTTGAGTGCTATAAATCTAAAAATTAAACTTTAGGTGTTAGATATGTAAATACATAGGAATTATGTGGTATGTATGTAAATGCCTCTTATGTTAATTATGACCGGTTAGTTATATTTATAAAATTTTAAGTAGGATAAAATTTTAAGTAGGACTTGACCTTTTTTTTTTTCCTTTTATTGCTTGAAATTTCATGGCGTGTTGCTAACATATCTATATTTCAGTACAAAAAAAAAATAATTTCACTTTTGTAAAGCTTATTTAATACATTAAAAAATTCATCTAGTCATGTAATATTTAGCAGGACAAGGTTATATGTATTTTTAATAGCTGCATATAACCTTTTCCATATGTTCGAACATGCAAGCAACTGAATGACATGCTAAATAAAGGACTTTTGAGCTCTGCTTTTTGGAACATCACCTCCAAATTAGAAATAAAAATTACAAGCTTGAAGTTTTGGCTTTCCTAGCCTGGAATTGCAAGAGAAGGCAGCTTGCGGTTTTAAGCTTGGAGTATGATATGATTTGGCACAAAAGTGAACATGATTTTCCATAGAAATTAGGGCAAAAATATTTTATTTCACGAACACCAAATCAAAGCAATACAACACAAATACATAAAGGATAAACACCTATAATTCAAGTGGTAGTTGATCTCTCCTAATTCCTACAATTCAATAGGTAGGAAATCTATCTCAAATCCTAACCCTAAGACTCCAAGGCTACAGTTCTCATGCATAACCCTAACCCTAAGCTATTAAGTCTTATTTATACCCAACAATAAAAATAGCAATAAAGGACCAATTTGCCCTTAGGCAAATAAAAGACAATTTCCTTTAAGCTGGTGAGTAACAATACTCCCCTCCCAAAATGCCACCTTATTCTCGAGGTGAAAACAAGTGAGGGCGTTCATATCCACCATAGCCATCTCTGTTTCTTCATCACTTGCGTTCACGTCACACACTGTGAGAACTTATAATGTTCAATCTTTGCAACGGTGTTCTGAGACAAACTTCTTATGACACATAAAATATAATCTTTTGGCTCGTTTCTTTGAATCTGTCTCTGTAAGGCGCTTAATGTTGACCCCTGGACGGGCCCCTATATTCTTCTCCTTCGTTGGCTCTCCTAGAAATGACATCATCTGGGTCTTCGGTGTCATGATCATCGAAGTACACATGCTGAGTTTTCCCAAGGTGCTACTTTTGCTAGCCTTTTTTTTTGTTCTTGTCCTCCAACATTTGGGCTTGCTCCATCATATACCTCAACCCCGTGGTCTCAATTATTCGCAGTGCCGTCTGTATGTTTGACTGTAGGCCCTTCATGAAAATCCAATCCCGCTCAGAAATCTCCCCCAGTCATCTCGACAATAATTTAAATCTCTCCCTATATTCATGATAGTTCCCTCCTACGCCAAGACATAGAATTGCTCATATAGGTCTCTTTTTCGAATGACGTAAAAATGCTTTAATAAACACTCATTAAAGCCCTACAATCAAATTGAGTGTTTAGCCTCCCTCCACTAAAACAATGCTAGGGCTTTTCCCTTCAAATATGACTCTGCCGCAATGAGCATTTCCTTCCCATTTAGCCTGTTCACTGCGAAATATCACTCCATTTGGTAAACCCACCCATTCGTATTTTTCCTCTCGGAAATCAACATTTTCAACTTCCTAATTCTAGCATCTCCACCCCAACTTCTTCTCCATTCGTGTTTCCCCCAGGTATCGAGGGTGGTAAAACTCTCTCATTCGCTCATAGCCATATCCCATCCCGACTTCTTTCCTTTCTTTTTTGTACACCTCCATACCCCTTGCATGACTCTTTCTCCATGTTTCGACCCAATAACTTTCAACAGAAATCTCTAATTCGCCCCCATCAGAGTCCTTAGGGGGAGTTCTTGATGGCAGATACTTTTCTCCTTATGTTCCTCACGTTCAATTTCTTTCCCTTTCGATCTGACCACAAAATCTTCGATCAACCTTTGGTTAAGGTTTGTAAATTTAGATGTCGGCGGGGTTTTGGATTGCATCTCAATATACTTGCTTATCATCTCCTTCAAGCTCTCAAATCAGTTTTTAATGGAAGAAAACCCATCGTTTATGGAGGAAAGCCTTCCTTCTATAACGGAGAAGTTTTTCTCCATCCCGGATTTAAGTTGGCTTATCTTTTTCTCTCACTTCTTTCTTAAATCATCTACTTTCTTTGTTGCCATCATTCTTGACAAGTTTTCGATCAGAAAAGACAGAAACACTTGTACATTGAAATGCCGTCGATGATTTCAAGATAGTTTGCATTGCGTCTATATCGCGAGTTAGTTTGATTTGATTTGACTGCACATTAGAATTGGAATAGGAGAAAAATGAGAGTTCCATGTCTCTGTATGCTGCGTAAGATGCAAGTCTTGAGTTTCTGTATGCCGCATCATTGCCTTATCAGTAAGCTCTAATCGTGACTGTATCTCATCGACGGTGTGGGAGGAAGAGAAAGATCGGCGTTTCAATTCTCTGGAAGATGCGATCCCTTCGTTGCTGTCTCTACAGTCTCTAATCGTGATTGTATCGCAAAGGGAAGTTTTAGGTTTCAGTAAGCCGTGATCCCATGCTAGCTCTCTTTGCCGCGATGGAAGGGAAGATAAAAGATTCAGGTTTTTGCCGCAAGCCTGTCGTCGCTTCCCAGGCTCGATTCCGACTTTATCATATAGATGGATGTGGGAGGAGAAAATAGGAGATTCGGGTCTCTACCATGAGCCTAATTGGTAGTTTGGACGTAAAATTATTTTCAACCCTTTCTTCTTCTGGGATCGAAACGCTTTGATATCTCTTTGATGCGATTCGACACTAGAATTGGCACAGTTTTCCACTGAAATTAGGGCAAACATATATTTTGTTTCACAAACACCAAATCAAAGCAATACAACACCGATATAAAAGGGATAAATACCTACTATTCGACATGTACAACATATCTTTCAAACCTTAAACCTAAGACTTCAAAATAACAATTCTGCATAACCCCACCCTAAGCTATTAAGCCCTATTTATACCCAACATAATAATAATAAAAGACCAATTTTCCCTTTGGCTAATGAAAAACAAAATTGCCCTTAGGCCGGTGCGTAACATCAATCTAAGAATTATTTATTGATCCCGCAAGCTGTAGCAATTTCCTTCCATTTTCTTATTGGAGCATCTTTGCTAATACTTTATATATTTTGTCTCAGTGAAATTGTCAAGTAATAACCATGTACTTCTTTCTAAAAGTATAATTACCTTGTATAACATAGAATTCTGTGTTATAAATAAGAGTTTAAGATTATCATTGAAATACACAAAAATTCTGCTCTTTCTCTCTCTGTGTGCATGTGTAAGTTCTGGATGGTACTAGGAAAAGAGGCATTGTTTTGTCAATGATCAAAGCTGGTTTTGTCAGTTCATCTAACTTGTCACCCTCCAATCCAGCTCACTTTTTTATTTTTTTCCCCAACCCTTAGTGCTCTAACCTCTTCGTCTTCTCCCTTTTTCTCTCATTTTCATTGAAATACTTCTATTATTAAACCGAATCTTTGCAACTGAAAACCAATTACGCGATCATTTATGAATTAGTTCAAAATTTTGCTTAATATGCCTTCTTACAACTAAATCAAATTAAAAAAAGAGGAATAAAACGTGGTCAGAACTAAGAATTCAAGAACTCGGGTAACTATTGGCTAATACTTTTCTTGCGTGCATGCCACTTTTTGTTCTCTCCATATTGGCTAGGAGAATTCTAGTGCATCACTTTTTTGCTTGTTTGAGAACAATTCCCACCCATGTCCTTGAGCTGAGTTTGCATCTTCCCATACTGTTTTCTGACAATCTGTTTTGATAGACGTCATGAGCAAGGTTGCTTTGTTTTGACCAAGTAGGCCTTTCTGCTCTTATTTGAGGATATGGTCTGTTCATCATTCATTTGCTTGTTTGGGGATTTTTTTTTTATTTTGCATCGTGAGCCAGTCCTTTACACATGCATTCATTGCATACTAATTTTAGAGAAATAGCAGGTAGTCTAATTTTACTTGCTCTTCTACTGTTTTGTCGGCACATGATTTGGCAAAATGTCTCATCTGGATTGGCTATTAGTGGAAGTATCCGCATGTCTTTAAGTGACATTTTATGCTTTTTTTTTCTTTTTTTACTGCAGGAACTTGGTACTGATATGAACCTCTATGCACTGGTTTTTGGAGAATCTGTTCTAAATGACGCAGTAGGTGTCTCAAATTTGAGTATGTTCACGCCAAATTACATTTTCATTTTGAATTTGAATCTTGTCCATTGATATTTCCTCCCTGGCCGTTCTCCTGTGTTTGTGGCTATTTGTAGATGGCCATTTCCTTGTACAGGTGATTTTCAGCCTTTGGATCTAGTAATTTTTCAACTTTTCACGTGCGCTGTATTTTGAGTTCTACTGGTATTGCAGGACGATGTCGTCAGTAAGGAGCCACGCAACATCCGGGCAAAATTTTATTATGCTTATTATCAGTTTTCTGGAGACATTTGTTGGCTCCATGTCATCAGGTTTGGTTTCTCTGATGGAACCTAAATCATGTTTCATGTTGAAACATCTTATTGTTTGCTTGCTTGCTTGCTTGCTTTACTTTTATCTTCTGTTTATATCTTTTTAAAGATAGGGTACCAGATGTAGCAGTTTCTTTGGCATTTAGGATTTTAGAATTTTTATTATATTCTTTAAATAAGATTATTTTACTTGAGTTATAATTTGATGGGAGCGGCTCTGATTTATATGCCCATTTTCTTCTGGATCATATTGTACATATATATTAATTTTAATTTGAAGTATTTCAAATGCAGAGTGTCTTAAGGTGTTGTTTTAAGCAAATGGATTGCCGGAACATGCATCTGTCAGGCTCAACGGAGTTATGGCAGTTATAAATCCTGTATAAATCCTGCTTCATTATTAGGCAAATAATAATAATAATAATAATAATCAGAAAAAAAAAAAAACAGAACAAAAAGGGAAGTTTGCCTGTAAAATGGAATGTTTGCACACGTGTTTCTAATGCGAAACCGACTTCCTACATCTTCTATCCTTCTAAGATCAAACTTTGAATTGAATTATAATTTTTGTGATTCGACTTACTTCTACGTCCGATATAGAGATCGAATAATGCAATAAGCTTCAAAAGGGGCATGTGAGGGAGTGCATTTCATATGAAATTGAAGATATAGACAAGTACACCAATTTGCTTAGCTGGGAGAAAATCCAGTCATTTGTTGTGAAGAGGAGATTCATGCTGGAAAAGAGATGTTGTTCAAGCTACCCACATCCTTTCTCTATCACGGGTGTCCAAATGAGAGTTATTCCTTGTTATGACTAATAGTTGCTTCACTCGCAAGAATAAAAAATAAATTTACTGTTTCTTTTGGAGATAGTTAAAGAAATTCCCCTTGCAAGCATACAAAAACATTCATAATTTCTTTCTAGGATTACACTCTACTTGTTTTTCGTCCTCTCTTTTTTTTGTTTGATGTTTCTTGTTGTTAGATGCATGAAATTATTAATTTGTTTTTATACTTCATCATGATTTGATGGGTATCAATGAGTATAAAGGTCGAGGGAGATAGCTATCTTTTTAGAAAAAAAATATATGATAATGGATCTTGAGTTAGCCAAACCACTATATCTTAAAAATCAAGTATGAATGTATCTTGAGTTTGGTAGCCAGAAGTCATAAAGTTTAAAACCAAAACTTATCCATGGTAATTTGTAAAATTTATACTCGACAATTGGCAATTACTCACATGGAGTTTGAATTTTAAATATACCTACTTTGTAGTTTTATCTGAACGCTTTTTCGTGGTAACACCTTTTATTAGCTATGAAGGTTAATTAAGACTTCGCTTTACTCTAGTCCATCATCGACAAACTTGTAAAACTTTGCATTATTATTGTATTGCTTATTTATTTATCTATTTTGCATGTTCAGTTTGCTTTGGAAATTCCCACTTATAGCATTTTTATTTTACACTTTTCTTCAAAATCATCGGTAATAGATTTCATTGTATTTTCTACTTTTATGATACTTAATGTCTTATATTTAATACTATTCTTGCTTTCATGAGCTACCAATGTTCTCGTTGAATCTAACACATCAACAGCTGATATTGCAATCTGCAACATTCAGATTCCACTAACTCTTTTCACTTCAAGAAATCCAATATGCCTTTATAAACATTAAGGGTATCTACATTATTAGTGAATGTATATCCTGCAACACTTAGAGAACTTGAAATTAAATTCCTGTCAAATTTGGTACGCATATGACTCAATCTAATAATATGGCTATACAGTAATGCGGCCTTAACTTTATAGCTCAAGAACCTCCAATTTTACACACAGCTCAATTTTTCTTGTAAAAACAACCACCAGTTATGCTCATATGTGAAAACTATACCTAATTTAAAATGTGATTAGAATCAGCTAAGTCTGTTATGCATTGTTCTTCACACTCATTATTTTTAGTCATCAAAGGGGTGACACTAACTTTATAACTAGAATTTTCTATAATAGTACTTGCATCAACCTGTTTATTATTGTTGTGATCGCTATATATACTTTTTGCTCCTTTTTTTTTCAATAAAAATAGTTCTTTATATGTCCTTTATACTTGCAGTAAAGGCAATTGTTCTCTTTAAATTTGTTCGAAGATTTAATTCTCCCATGATTAGATGGGATATGATCTGTCTATATAATACATATAAACCATCAGCTGGTTCAGCGCCCACTTCAGGCTTTAGAAGTCATCTCATTTGAAAGAAGTAAATCATTGACATTTGAAAGAAGTAAATCATTGACATCCTCTATTCCTATTGTATCAAAACCATATATTATGGTATCTCAAAAGTACTTGCAAGTGGGTGGTAAAGAGTATAATGACAAACGATTGATCTTCATAATTAACATTCACACCAATAATTCTCAAATCTTGAATGATGTAATCAAAACTAATTGAATGTAATCTAATAAACAGGCTTTTTGGCATGCGAAGTAAATTTGTGGGAATTATTTTAGTCCTGCACAAAAACTCAAGCTCAAGCCTAAATTTTTAATAATTGTTTCCTTCAAGACCGCTATCAAAATATGTTTTGCTTAATGCACTAAACCATTAAGATAGTCTTCTCCTCCACCTCTATCTAATCTATTTTACTTATGATTATATGTATATTGCTACACCTCATGAGCGATTTTACGAGTCCTTGTTGGACAAGAACACCACACATCTTTTATCATGCTAGATCTCTTTTGTAATTCTTTTATCGTTTATCGTACTTGCTCCTAGGTTAAAACACTCTTCTTCTCTAACAAGTTAGGATGAAAATGAGAGTATAAAGCGTATGATGTCGATAAAATTCTTGATTGAGAAGTTTGATGGTTCAAACTATTTTGGGCTTTAGAAAACAAAGATATACAAAAGACATCTAGCACTACAAATGATAACACTAAAATTTGTGTGATTTATCTTAGATAAGCCTAACACCACGGCCGTGGCCACATAGAGACCGAATGATCACTATGTTTTAAATGGGGTGTATGAAGGATTACGCTTCATGTTAAGTTGGAGATATGGACAATGATTTTGCTTCGCTAAGCTGAGATAAAATATAGTCATCTCCACCTTGAAGAGGAAAGATAGATATGTGAAAAGAGATTAATTGTTTTTATAAGTGACGCTCT